GTCTGTGCTTCGTTTTTAGGTTTTCCTTTTTTAATTTTAGTTCGTGACCACGTAGACGAGAGTCAGTATTTAACAAAAAAATGTCACTAAGATTTCCGTAATTATATTTAAGTATTCTAAAAGTAAGAATTAAGTCCCCTCGTAGTCGACGATTCGCAAAAGTTGACAAGTTTGACAATTGTAGTCTTTCTGCATATGATGGTCGGACTGCTCCAAAGGTCATTCTGGTAGCCCGGCGTTGAACATTTTCTAAAAGGTTCTGGTCTCGCACAAGAAGCGGACACCAAACTACACCTGCATATTCTAATAAAGGTCGAACATAAATCTTAAATAATTTGATGTATGTATGAAAGGATACCTTTGCAAAAGTCTTTTGAAGCAAATATAACATCGAATTTGCACGTTTACATGTTTTTAGAATGTGTTCAGACCATGTTAGTTCTGACGTCACTAAAACTCCTAAATCTACATACGAAGACACTTGCGCCAAATTATGGCTACCGAGCGAGTAACCAAGACGTGGATTATTTTTGCCGATATGTAACGCCACGCACTTGTTTATATTTAACGGGAGAAGCCAGTCCGAGCACCAATCACTTATTGAATTTAAGTCAGCTTGAATATTATCGTAGTCTACTAAGGGGTTTCCGTAAAATTTTGCGTCATCTGCATAAAATGCTCTTTGAGACTGGATATGGTAAGGTAGATCACTCGAATAAGTTATAAAAAGAAGCGGACCCAGTATCGAGCTTTGGGGGACACCACTTGTCACTAATCTATCTGATGAGTAGGACTGACCAACTTTGACTCGGAAGCTCCTATTTCCTAGATAATTGTGAATCCATGACAATAATTTTCCTCGAATACCAAATGACTCGAGTTTGTGCTGCAGTCTGACGAAAGGGACTCTATCAAAAGCCTTTGCAAAATCGAGATAAATTACATCAGTTGGTTGTTTGCATTCGAGTGAGCGAGACCAATCGTTAATACAGAATAAAAGATTTGTTGTGGTAGATTTACCCTTAACAAAACCGTGTTGTTCCTTTGGTATTACGTTATGCTCTTTGAAAAAGTTAGTCATGACATCAACTACGATGCTTTCCATGATTTTTGATGGGATAGACAAAAGGCTTATAGGTCTGTAATTTGAAGCATCCATTTTGTCACCCTTCTTAAAAATAGCTGTGACTGACGCAATTTTCCATAAGTCGGGTAGAGTAGATGTTTTAAAAGATGTTGTCATGATTGTGGAAAGCGGGTCGGACAGTGTGTTTGCATACTTTTTTAAAAAGAAAGAACTTAATCCGTCAATACCAGGTGAAGAGTGGTTCTTCAACTTAAGTAATTTATTTCTAACCTTTTCGGGATTAAACTGCACATCAATCAGACTATTATGTATCCTCGTGGTTATTATATGTGGTAGTGCGGTAGTGGCAGGTTCGTTTGTAAATACAGAAGTGAAAGTGTTTGCCAGAATTTCCGCAGTATCGAAATCTGTAGAACATAAAGTACCATCTGGGCAACGCAATAAAGGTACACTTACTTTGGAACATAAATTTGAACGCACATATTTGTGTAATTTTTTGTGATTTTCTGAGTTTACAATATTTTCTTCATAGTCTCTTCTCGCTGAGCGAATATTTAGTTTTAAGAAATTAGAGAAATTTCTGTGAGAACGGAAGTCCTGTATATTTTTAGAAATATTGTACTTTCTCCAAAGTCGCCGTTTATGATGAATTAAGGATACGACATCACTATTTATCCAGGGTTTTAACGGATTTCTGCGGTACTTCTTGGTAAAAGAATGTTTATTAATTATTTCATTAATGGTGCATAGAAAAGTGTTCCACATATCATTTACATTGTTAAACTCTTTTAAAATATCATCAAAGTTGATAGCTTCTAAGTTCATTTTGACATCGTTGTAGTTGATCACCCTGTATAAATCGTACGTCTTACTGTTTACACTTTCAATATGAACTTGGATCTCGGCTATTATTACTGAGTGGTCGGAAATACCTATTGGGGGAAGATGTTGAGGTTCTGTTATAAGTTGTTCATCATTTGTGATGATAAGATCTAGAATAGAGGGTTCGTTATTAACTCGAAACCTGGTTGGTTTATCTATTAATTGAAAGAAATTAGAGTCAGCAAAAAATTGCATAAAATTACTTGTTAAAGTGTCTGAGTCTGGAATACGAGTTATAGGCCAGCAAATATCGGGAAAATTAAAATCTCCAACTGCAATTGCATTTTGGAGTGTTGAAAAGTTATTAAGTTTATCAATTAATAGCTTAGTTGAAACTAAGCAGGAATCACCAGGCCTATAGATACAGGCAAAATTAATATTGAAGAGACCTTTAGAAACGTTAAGTAGTAAAATATCTATACCTGCTATTTTTGGGATGTCAGTGGTGATTGAGAAATTACGGGTTATTTCTTCACAAATATATATACAAACTCCGCCACCTGTTTTCAATGGTCTATCAGATCGAAATATGGTGTATCCATGGATAGAAACAAGCGAGTCTGGATCTGATGGTTTTAGCCAGGTTTCCGTGATAAATATTAAATGCGGTTTGAGATCTTGAACATTACATAAAAACTCGTCAAATTTGGCTTTAAGAGAATCCAGGTTAGTATATAAAAATGACCAAGAGGTAATAGTGGCAGAGTTAGACTTGAAAGTTAGAGTTTTTAACAATTTTTGGCACACCTTGCAAATACTTAATGGTTATGTCTGTTTCACCATTTTGCTTTCTGTTTTCTAGTTCGGCCCGTAAATCTTTAATAACTTGAACTTGAATAGACGTTTGATCGGTGATTACTGAAAAGTTTTTAGTGGTAGGGTGTTCAAGTAGTTTCTTTTTATTTCTTAATACAGAGCGGGCATCATATTCATTGGGCAGGACAACTTTAATCATACGTGGGTACTTTGAGTTTGACTGGGGCTTGCCAGGTCGGAAAAACGCTACGGGAGTTGAAGAGCAGCCAACAGATTGTAAAACTTGTTTAACTGCAAATTCGTCATGCTTCTTTTTAGTGTCGTTATCACCAGGTGCTTCAGTAATTCCACGCACTATAACATTCTTAGCTCGGTTACTTCTATCAAGTGCTTCGTGGGCAATTTTATCGGCAAATTGTGGGGTAGTTAAATGTTCAAAGTTGGATAGTTTTTGATTAATTTCCCCGAATTTTATTTTCATTTCATCTAGTTCCTTGCTTAGGTCATTTTTAAAAGACGCTAGGAGGGTTTTAATATCCCCAAATTGATCCAGACTAGCGTTACATGCCGAACAAAATATTTTTAAACATTTCGCGCGGTTTCGCGTGACTCGATCTTCTGCTGATAGTCCCGTGCAGGCGAGGTGGATAGGCCGTTTACAGCCATCACACTGAATGTTAGTCGTATCTCGATCAGATACTATTTTCGTGCAATTCGCGCAGTTGACCGTGGGCATCGTGATAGTAAGTAAACGATGGAATTGAAATAGATTTGTTGACAAATATCAGGTTTTTAGCACAAAAACTAAGATTTACACCTTACCAAATGCACTTTGTAGATGTTTGTAAAGTTTGTTGGTAACACAAGACTTTATAGAACACAGTTCGCACTCACAACAAAAGTTTCTTTATTTAATTTAATAAATTTACAATTTAACTTGGAGAACGCTATCGGTACGTGTTTACTCTTCAAAGAATTCAACATCACGATTCTGATGGGAGATTTTTCGTTAAATAAAGCATTTTTAATTTAATAAGAATGCAATATTAAATTTAGTAAATGGAATTAATAAATTATTAAGGTACTTGGTTGCGGTAGGTTACAATACCAACGGAAAGTGTGCGACGACCTCAAGGTCATCGGTTTATTATTAGGATTGCAGGGTGATTACACAAAATACTCTTTTTTCCTTTGTTTATGGGACAATAGAGCAAAACAACATCAATATGTAAGAAAAGAATGGCCTATTCGGAATGAGTATATTCCAAGCAAAATGAACGTTATACACGAGCTGTTGGTAGATCCAAATAACATCACTCTACCCCCTTTGCGCATCAAAAATTTTGTAAAGGCGCTTGATAAAACCAGTGATGGTTTCCGGTTTTTACAAAAATCTTTCCAAGCATTACAGAAGCGAAACTATAAGAGTATATTTGTTGGCCCACAGATGCGTAAAATTATGAAAGATTCTCAGTTTGAAAGCCTTCTATCTGTTAATGAAACATTTGCTTGGAAGGCATTCAAAGTGATTGTGGAAGAATTTTTAGGTAAAAAAGTGAAAATTACAAAGAAATTATTACCGATGTATTAGAAAATGCTCAACAGATGGGAGTAAACATATCATTAAAGATTTATTTTTTGCACTCGCATTTGAATTTTTTCGTTGAAAACATAAAAAGTATGAGTGACGAACAAGGGGAACGTTCTGTAAGAGTTAGCCCGTACAAAACATGTTATAATGCTTAACTCAGGTTTCTGATGATTGTTGGTCTTTCCTATATCTCTTATTATTGATTCTGGTATATCAAATGCCTTACCAACTTCCCTTACTGCTCGTCCGGCTTTAATAGCCTTTACAACCATTTTAAATGAACTTTAATAGCTTTTCCTGTATATGTATATACAATAAAAAAAGAAAATATGATATAAAATACATATTGGATAATTCCAAGCAGCGTGTGGTTTCTAAGTTAACATAAATTTACTTTTTTGTCAAACTGTTTATTACAATGCAGAACAATACTAATGTCAATCACTTTCTGCAAGATACTGGAATCTTAACGTCATGGACTTTGGTTTATAGGAAGAATAAAAGTCGAACTTGGATGTGAAATATTTACTCTTTAACCTTGGAGCTCGAATCGACATCTTTTAACTATTCCAAATACCTACATCTCTGAATAAAAATTATATCATCTCTTCAATATCATCTACATTCCCCTATTGAAAATTTATTGATTGAATTATTACTATAAGCTGATTTATTTAATTTTAGCATTACTAATTAGTATTTTCGACGGACTTCCACATTTAATGATAAGAACAATAATGTCTTTTGTTATCGCTCCAGAAGAAATGGGAAAAATATTTGCTGTGCTTAGTATAATTACGAGCCTTGAGGGTATGTTATCCAATCTCGTATATCCTCTCATCTATAATGCAACAATAGATATAAACAGTGGTATTTACAATTTTGTATCTTTTGGAATCCACATCCTGGCTATAATCGCTATGTTGTAAGTATTGTTTAATTTATTTATTTTTTTTAATAAATGTCTAATTCACTGAGATAACTTTGACGTGAATGAGGGAAAAATATTCAAGTTTGCAAGTTCCTTTACATGAAGGTCTATAGGTGTAGACCTTGATCGTAAAACAAGTTGAGTTACTTATCTTAAAAATTTTATTTTCTGTAATTATGTAAAAACTTGGTGATTGCCTTACAGATTTCATTTACTAATTTGATGCTTCCATTCATAGATGTCGCTAGTGAAAATTGAATAAAGCGAATTAAGTCTTCCCGGGTGGGGTACAAATGTTCCCCATAAATTGTTTTTCCTGCATATTTTCTCAGACAGTCCATATTTTTGGTTACCAATTTTATTTTGTGTCAATAAGAGCTTTGCAAATAATTAATGCTTGTCAAAAAAGATTCTTTTCTTTGTTTTTGGAATAAAAATATTTCAATAGCGTGGGGTATATTTGTACCCCACTTGGGAATCCGCGTCCACTATTGAGGAGTGGCCTAGGCAATCATTTATACGTAAAGGAATTCTAAAACGGCGCGCGCCGCTTCTAAAAATAGACTCGATAGTGTACTCGTTATACGCACTAATTTGACCATCGCCAACGGTCGCATGTGTTAATTTTACTTATCAAAAATGTCGAAAGGTATCAATGACGCGGAGTTAGAACGACTCTTATATGCAAAGTCCGACGATGAAATGGAAGAATTTGACATGATATTATCTGAAGATGAGGAGAGTGACAGGGAGCCGGAAATAAATGAGGAAGTTTCTGATCTTATTCAATGCGAAAGTGAAGTTCGTCAAGAAACATCTGTGGGGCAGGACAGGACCGAAAGTGTACCGAAAGAAGGTGTCGGAAATCCATTTTATAAATCTCAAGATGGCACACAATGGTCGAGAATACCACCATATCCTCAGACACTCAGAAATATAATCAAAAATAAGCAAGGTCTCACCCCGTATAGTTCAAGTTTTACCACTGAAATTAAATCATTTTTGCTGTTTTTGTCAAACGATATGATGGAAATTATAGTAGTTTAAACGAATAGAAAAGCTGAAGAGGTAAGTTCAATATTTCATTTGTTTATAATGTTTATGTAGTTTGCCGTATTCCACCGTTACAAAAGCAAGAGTTCTTCTATTGTAGGTGATAAAACAATGGAATAAAAAATATCCACATAAACCACAACGAACTTGGCAGCCAACCGATTCTACGGAGATCCATGCGTACATAGGACTCCTGCTCATCCAAGGAGCACTTCAAGTAACCAAGGAGCTCCAAAAAATGTTATGGTGTACCGATAAAAAATATGCTAGGCCTATTATTCCTGCAAGTATGTCACGTAATCGATTCCAGTTGCTAACAGCATTTATTCGTTTTGACGACTATTCTACTAGAGCTCAGCGAAGAATGAGCGATAAACTGGCACCAATTAGAGAGATATTTGATATTTTTGTTCAGAATTGTAGTAAGGCGTATTCACCTGGATCGCATGTTACTATAGACGAGCAACTTCATTCAGGGGGAGATGCCCTTTTCGTGTTTACATGAAAAGTAAGCCCGATAAATATGGCCTAAAAATTTGGGCAATGGCTGATAGTGAAACTGCGTACAGTATAATAGTCCAAGAGCCCGCTTCGGCTAGGCGCACATCATTTCATAAAACTCTCAAGTTTATCTGCGCACGTCACCAACACAGGTAAGAACTATGAGCGACTATGTAGTTTAGGTAGTGGTTACTTTGACAGGTAACAGCTAACAAAGGTGTAAAAAAACAGCACCTTAAGTACATTAAGATATAAAGCTCGGTTTTTTTACATTTTCTTCAGAATAATATTTAAAATGACGTCATCCATTGCCGGACACTTAGTATAGTTTCAACCCCCTGCCTGACACCCCCAAACTCTGAAAAATTGTGATTACACTTACATTGTAGTATAAAAGTTGAATTTTCTATATGTTTCTTGGGGGGCTATGAAAAGAAGTTACCCCAGTAGCCGGACAGTTTTCATGGTTTTTTACATCTTGCCAGAGGCCTTGAGAGTCCGCGTCGGTGCGACCGCGAGGCAATATATATTCAGGCGGGTTTGAGTGAGATGGTGAGTTTGCTCTATTGCGTTCTTTTACTGCTTATTTTTTACTTACTCAATATCATATCTTAAACTATTTTTTATACTTAACAAAAAATAAAAATACTAACTTAACAAAATAATTCCATAAAATTATTTATGACTCAAAAATACATGTAAAAAAAATTATCTAATAAAATTTTCATGGCTAAAAATAAAAAACAAATCTAAAAAAGTAATCCATACATTTTTAGAGTTTTGTTAATATTTTTGAGAAATTCAAGTTTTGACTATGTGAGGTAATAATATTGTTTATCGTATGAAATCCAATGAACAAATATTTTTATTATATTCATAGCCATATTATAGAAAGTACATCAGGTAATTCCAAAACATAACTAATCATCCATATATTGTCAATTATAGTGTGTAATTGCGAATCTGTAGAGTATGTAATTTCTATATCATCAGCCTTTAATTGTAGTTCACCTGTCATTTTTGGTTTCTTTGGATACGGAATCTCTTCAGTAGATATGGCTTCAAAAGTTCTTCTTTTCCTGTTTTTTTGTTGTGAGTTATTACCATGATTTAGAATCGACGCTTCAGACAAATTAATTTATTTTCCATGCTAACACTTTACTTAAAACTCAATTAAATTTATTTCACAAACTACACAAATAAATGATAAAACGTATACTGAACGTATAATAGTTCAACACATAATACAGTGTAAACGACAGATGGTGCGCAGTAAAAGAACGCAATAGAGCAAACTCCCCATCTCACTCAAACCCGCCTGAATATATATTGCCTCGCGCTCGCACCGACGGCGGACTCTCAAGGCCTCTGGCAAGATGTAAAAAACCATGAAAACTGTCCGGCTACTGGAGTAACTTCTTTTCATAGCCCCCCAAGAAACATATATAAAATTCAGCTGTTATACTACAATGTAAGTGTAATCACAATTTTTCAGAGTTTGGGGGTGTCCGGCAGGGGGTTGAAACTATACTAAGTGTCCGGCAATGGATGACGTCATTTTAAATATTATTCTGAAGAAAATGTAATAAAAACCGAGCTTTATATCTTAATGTACTTAAGGTGCTGTTTTTTTACACCTTTGTTGCCTGTTACCTGTCAAAGTAACCACTACCTAAACTACATAGTCGCTCATCGTTCTTACCTGTGTTCGTGACGTGCGCAGATAAACTTGAGGGTTTTATGAAATGATGTGCGCCTAGCAGAAGCGGGCTCTTGCTCTATAAATTTACAGGTTTATCTTGGAAAAATAAATAACCAACCAGAGAAAAATCAGGATAAAAGAGTGGTCTTGGATCTTATAAACCCCTAGGCACTGGATATGGAGTAACCACAGATAATTTTTTCACAAGTTTATCACTGGCAAACAAACTTGCTGACAAAGGACTAACCTTGTGTGGGACACTCCGAAAAAATAAGCCATACATCCCAAATGAGTTGTTACCCAAATTATTTAGGACCATACATTCTAGTATATTTGCTTTTACGAAAGACCATACTATGGTCTCTTATACCCCTAAAAAAGGCAAAGCAGTTATTTTGCTATCTACGGAACATCATGATGATCTTGTTGCAGATGAATCATATAATAATAAACCCCACATTATACTTCATTATAACCATACAAAGGGTGCTGTAGATACTACAGATAAAATGGTGAACAGAATTTGCAATCGTTGGCCAATGGCAATTTTTGGTCAATTATTAGATATTGCATGCCTAAACGCATATATTCTATGGAACATCAAATATCCGAAAAATTCCAAAACTAAGGACGACCGACGGTATTTCTTACTTCAGTTAGGAGAAGCTCTGGTAAAAGACAATATTATACGGATATATAATCGCCCAGGACGCTTGAGCAAGACGCTGAAGATGCGAGATGTTGTTCCAGAATTGGCATCGGCTGCAGTTGAAGCACCAATTGAAGCACCAAGAGAGAGACACGTAAGTGGACGTTGTTATCTGTGTTCACGAAATAAAGAACGCAAATCTAGACAGTTTTGCAACAAATGTCAAAACTTTGTATGTGCAGAACACCTTGTAAAAGAAGTGAAGTGTATTAAATGCAAAGACGATTAGGAAAATATTATATCTCATTTTCTGTAATTGAATTTTTCACTAATTTTACTCTGTTCTAAGTTCATTCTATGTATTATTACTCTTTACTATAATAAAAAACACGTTTATGTATAAGAAGTGTCATTTTTGTCATGGGGTGCAAATGTACCCCACGTGGGACCCTACGTAATTATGCTGACGTGGGAAGACGAAGGTTAAAGGCACAAGTCTCGCAGGTTTATAAATTTTATGTGAAATATATCGGATATAAATGATGGTCTCTCCACAGAGGAACCATTTCTGATTCTGAATGAAGCTTTAAACCGGATGAAAATTTATGAGAAATTCAGTAACAATTTTATTATTATTATACTCATTTCAGATCTGAAATCTAAAGAAAGATAAAAAAAAAGATAAAAGCATATGAACAAACAAAAAAACACTCAGAATTAATAAAATCATAAATAAACAGTTTTGGTTATTCTTTTGAAAAAAAAAAAGTCACAACACTTTGTTTTGACGCATCTAGAGGCGTACTGTGCCTATTATCGAAATTTAACCGAAATGAAATTTCGCAAATTCAAGAAAACTGATAAATAATTATTTAAATTACAAGAAATATTGAAGATATCAAGTAGTACTTTTGAAAACAAGGGTTGACCCATGGAGGAAGGATTCTTATGAGTTGCCGTTTCTTTGCAGCAACCTGTGGGAGGAGTAGAACTAATCTTACTCTGTCGGTAATGTAATTACCAGCAGTATTACCATCAACTCTTACTCTGTCGGTAATGCAGTTACCCGTATTATATTTCATTTGAAAA